ATTTCTTCATTTGTGCATGCCCCTTCACTCCATCTTACCTCAAGAATATGCTTTAAGTTAACTTCTGTTGTTGTTAGTGCCGTGAATTCAATTCTGACTCCTAGGGACCCTGTGAACACCAGCGTGAAACTCGTCCGTGTTATGTTTTGCACCACCCTCTCACCTTCTGGCGCTGTATCAGACAATGCTCTGCTGCTGTTCACAGGGTTTTCGTGGTCATTTTTTCTTGAAATGGGTGGCCAGGTCCTACTTTCTAGTCTGTCTTAGTATGGAAGCCCCACTGAAACCTGTCCCTCATGGGTGTCCCTGCTGGTATTTGAAATACTGGTGGCAAAGCCTTCAGCGTCGCAGTAACCTGGCAGCCACCACAGTATGACAACTGACAGATGATTGGTGTGTTTCCCTGACTGTAAATGAACCTAGGCCATGGCGGTGAATGAGAATGCCAAATCTTAGCCACTACGGTAAAATTTATTGAGATATAATTCACATATAATGAATATACACATTTTAAATTTAATGAGTTTGAAAAATGTATGTGACCATGTAGCTACCCACCCCCATCAGGATATAGACTATTTCTATCACTGACAAAACCTCTTTCATGCTTTTTTGGAATCAGTCCTACCACATCGCCTACCCACAATCAGTGATCTGACTTTACCAATACAGATTAGCTTTCTTTCTGACTCTAGAGCTTTGTATAAAAGGTAGAATACAGTATGATATCCTTTGATGCTTGACAATTAGCTCAGCATAATATTTTTGAGATTCATCCATGTAATTACATGTATCATTAGCTTTGTTCCTTTTTATTGCTAAGTAGTATTCCATTATATGGATCTATCATAATTTGTTTATCCATTCACCTACTGATAGACGTTTGAGTTTGGAGCTGTTATGAATAAAATTGCTATTAACATTTGTGAGCAATTATTTGGGTAGATATATGTTTTTATTTGCCTTGGGTAATACCCAAGACTGGAAGTGAAGTGTTGAATCTTCTGTTTAACTGAATAAATATTTTCTGACAGCAATATGTGAGAGTTGCAATTGCTGCAAAAAAAGACCATTGTATTTTGGTAGGGATTTCTTTGAATCTGTGGATCGCATTGGGTAGTTGAAATTGGCATATTAACAATAATGAATCTTCCAATCCATGGACATGTGATGTTTTTTCATTTATTTAGTTCTTTCTTAATTTCTTTTATCAGTGTTTTGTAGTTCTCACCATACGAGTCTTTTGCTTCTTTGGTAAAATTTATTCATAGATATTTTTTGCTTTTGAATGCTATTATAAATGGAATAGTTTTCTTAATGTACTTTTCAGATCATTAATTTCTGATATATAGGAACACAATGATTTTTGTATGTTGATCATGTACTCTGCAACTTTGCTTAATTCATTTATTAGCTTTATTAGGATTTAGCTTCTTTTAGGATTCTTTGGAATTTTCTGTATATAGAATCATGCCATCTGCAAATAGAGATGGTTTTATTTTTTTCCTTCTCAGTTTGGATGTCTTTCATTTTGTTTTCTTGCTAATTACTTTGCTTAGAACTTCCAGTACAATACTGAAAAGCAATGGTGAAGGGGGACATCCATGTCTTGTTTCTGATCCTAGGGGGAAAGCTTTCAGTCTTTCACCATTCGGTATGATATTAGCTATAGGTTTTTCTCAAATGCTCTTTATCATTTTGAGGAAGTTTCTTTCTATTCCTAGTTTTATAAATTTTTTTTCATGAAAGAGTGCTGGATTTTGTCAAATCCTTTTTTGCACATCAATTAAAATAATCTTTTTTACCTTCAGTCTATTAATGTGATGTATTCCATTGATTCATTTTGTTTTGTTGAACCATCCTTGTATTCCTGGGATAAATCTCAGTTGGTCATGATGCATAATCCTTTTAATGTGCTGTTGCACCAGTGGTGATTTTGCCCCCCTAGACAGACATTTGACAATGTCGAGATATTATTGATTATCTCAACTGGAGGAGGGTGGTACTGGGATCTGGTGTGTGGAAGCCAAGATGTTACTAAATAGTCTCCAATGGACAGGACAGCTCCCCTTCCCCCCACAATAATTGATTAACAATTCAAAGTGTCAATATTACCCAGGTTGACAAATTTTGAATTATACCAACCCTGCCAACATTCCTCTAGTGTAGGCCACCATTCTTTCTCTAACTTGTCATCTGGACTTTTCCCTCAGCCTCCTCAAAACACCCTACCCTCTCCTACCTTCTTTTCATGCTCTAGCCATACTGAACCTGGCTTAGTTTCTTCCATCAGCCATGTTATCCTTTGCTTTTATCCTCTACACATGTACTTCCCTCTGATCAGAACATCCTTTCCCCCTCCTCACTCTCCAGCATCATCACTAGATTTTACTTCTATCCATTCTTTAGTTCTCAGTTATTTGCTCTAGGAAGGTTTTCTGATTCTCTGTAGTCTAAGAGAGGCACTTTTGCAGTATTTCCCCCCAATGCTTATGTCATAGCATTTATCAGAGTTTATTAAAATCACATGTTAATGTCTATCAGGTCTTAGAGGATTATACCCACTATTTGCTCATTATCGTAGCTTCAAGACCTGGGTCTTTGCCATTTATGCAGTAATTTGTTTTCTTGTGGGGGTTTTTTTAAATTTTAGAATGAACACAAAAGTAAATGAATGAATCAGCCTAAACTCTTTTTTATCTGTAACATTCAGGAAGTGTTATAGTTAAGAAATGCAAGTAAATTTTTTCTGTGTGTGCACCTCAGATATGTCTGTGGAACAGAAATACCAGTTAAAATATTTTTATTTTAGCTATCTAAATCTTTGTTATTCTGCCCTACCCGTAATTGACTGTTAATACATTTAAATTTTTTTATTATTTTTTATTTTTGATGAAGAAGATTAGCCCTGAGCTAACATTTGCTGCCAATCTTCCCTTTTTTGCAAGTGAGCAAACCACCACCACAGCATGGCCACTGACAGACAAGTAGTGTAGGTCCACACTCCGGAACCGAACACAGGCCACTGAGGCAGAGTGCAACGAACTTAACCACTAGGCGATTGGGGCTGGCCCACATTTGGTTTTTAAAAATTATCAAATGGTTGATCCAGTGTCTGTGCAAAGATACAGGGACCCAGAGTTTTAAAGCACTAATGTTTAGGGTGCATTCTTGAATAAATTATCACATATACAAGCAAGATTTGAAAGTGGAATTTGGGGCAAAAGAAAACAGTTCATCTCAGCCTTTTAAATAGGCTTAGGGCATGGTTTTCTAGGAATTTCTGGTTTTCCCAGGCAGTGTCCACTTGCTGGAGAAAGAAACAAAATGTAATCTGCACACAGTGAAATGCCAGAGGCAATGTGAGTATTGTGCAAGTTCAAACCAGGTCAGAATAAAAATGACTGCTAACCAGCCATCCAGCTTGTAAAATGATATAAGAACTCATTCTTACTTATTGCCCTTTGCAAATATTAAAAAATAAGTCATAGTGTGTCAGCAAGATGCTTCAAGTTTCAGTGTTGCTTTATGGACTAGAAGTGTTTCAAGTAAGAGTTGGCTCTGATGTGAATTTCTATAAATCAAAGCCTACTTTTCCACTTAAGCTAATCAAAGTACTGATAATATTTCCTAATGGTTATTTGACAAGCCCTAAAACGCTGAGATGATATCATCTTAGGAGAAAAGATTTAAGACAAAAACCAACACCATGTTATTACGGCGAGCTGGATGCGTTCTGCCTTTTGGGGATTGTAGTTTTTCAGTTTGTTTGCTTTCATATTTCATGGCATTTTTCAAATTCTAATATCTCCTTTTACCATTAGCTACACTCCAAAACCTCTAGAATTGTAGGAATTCTCTAAGGCCTACCAATCTTCTAAATCGATGTTATGTTCCTCAGAGTATTTTTGTCTTCCTCATATGTTTGTCTAAATATTTAAATTGATAATTGTTTGGAAAAGTTTCAGATTTCATTAGCTTATTTTGCTTGCAGGCTTCCGAGCTTCCATTTTCTCATCTGCAATATGGAAAATTGTGGAGAAAGTTAAATCGGTACTTGGTAGTAAAAAAAAAAAAGCATGTGCATGTATATGAATGTATGCTAACTATAGATGCTTGTTAAGATGAATCTGATCCTCAGACTTATTCTTCACTTTTGTCTGATCATGTAGTAAGATAAGGGTCCACTTAGCTGGAAAGATTTTCAGAGATTTCATCTTCTCTAATTAGTTTATCTAAAGTAGCAGTAATGACTCCCCCATCTCATTACACCCCAGGTCACAGTCTTTTATTATTCCATTTATTTCTTTCTTCGTATTTATCAGAATCTTTATTTACTGTGACTCTGTCTATTTTCCTATTGTCTCTGACACCACTACCTTTAGAATAAAAGCTTCAGGAGGGTAGGGGCCATGTTTGCCTTGTTCAATTTTTTATCACTGACACAAAGAGCTTGTAGTAGGTCATCAATCAATAGTTGTTACATAAGATATTTTTTTGGTTGCAGATACCACATTTTATGAACTGAAAGAAATGCCCTGGGTCAAGCCAGAAAGGCTTTCCAAGGCTTTCAAAAAGATTGCATAATCTTTACATTTAGAGCTTCTTCCTGTGTCTCTTCCACATGCCTCCTTCTCCCAAGGCCAGCTACAAACTTCCCACATGGGCAAAGCAAGGATAGAGAGAAAGTCATCTGGAAAGTTAGCACCTTTCCCATTGTTCCTGAATCCTCTTATTTCCTGGTTATCTGTCATCACCACATAACTGGTGCATTAATCATCCCAAATTTTGTGTATATGTATATATATATATATGTATAAAATACATATATATAAAATATATGTATTATATGTATAAACTAAGCATCCTAAATTATACATATTTATATATACATTATTCAAACAGATATGTATATATAATATAAATTATATAAAAGTATATACTTTTCATATATTTTATATAACTATATATACTTTACACATACTTTTGTAAAAGCATCTATTTATGTATTTGAAATAAAATAGAAAAGTTAAAAATGCCTATTTTCCTTTACTAAGGGGTATGGAAATATGGTTGCTTAAAATACATATCCTAGCACAGTTTGATCATAATTATACAGCAACTACAAAACAATAAAATTAATTTCTTTGGATATCACAACTTTATATGTGTTCCTATTATATACCAACAATATTACTATATAATGAAACCAGGAAGAAAATTCCATAAGATTGATACTGTGCATATTGTAAACTAAATCCATTTTCAATTACATTAATTCTTTTAGTTCTAAAATTTATAAGTCAAATTTATCTGTCCTAATATCTACTGTCAAAAATATATGTAAGCACATAGACCTCCCTAAGTGACTATATTTTATTCCCTTATAATCTTGAGATTCAATTAGGGCCATGGCTAAAGAACACTAAGCAATAATTTGATTCAGCCGACACAACCAGAGGAAATCTGGGAAGTCAATAAACTAGATTCATGTCTTGCATACAAAAATAATAGGTTGATTGAAGTTTTCACTTTTTAATCTGTTACTTTGATATCAAATATTCTCAGTATTAAATATATTTTATTGATTAAATTCCTGCCCACTGTGAAAGATAATCTAACATATAACTAGAAGGTCTATTCTATTTTTTCAGAATTTTTTAGGGCCTTCCATTAGGCTAACACAATAGCTGAAGTGAGATTCTCAGTATGCGAAACTTCAATATCTAATACAGCCATTCAATTTTGTGCAAGTGTATATATACATAAAATATAGATTGTTCAAGAAAAAAGAACTATGAGAGATATAGAGCAAAGGATATGTCTTTAAAATTGAGTGGGCACCAACTTCAGGGCCCAGAGATTCAAAGTTTTGTTGCACGAAATGGCTGTCTACAAGAAATATTCTAAATTAAGTATGTACTATCCAGCTTTACATAATTGGTTCCCCTTTAGCTACTTCTATATCCTACCTTGAGTTATTTTAATCTATTTATTGGTTGAATTGTAGAGAGACAGCCCTATCTAAATCAATTACCTCATCCTTTTGAAATTGTTCTCTCTCTTTCTCTCATCTCAGAACATAATTTTTCAGACCACCGCCTTCAATTTATGCACCGTACACGTCTTTTTGACATTTTGTTACATAATGCTTACTTTGTTGCATTAACCCCCACATGATGACACCCCGAAGTGACCAGGATGACATGTTAGGCCAAGATACAGAGTGCCTCCCCCCCGTGCCCCCACCCTGTTCTCCTCCATTAGTCTAGGAACAACTGTAGTGTTCTTTGTCATCAGGTCAACATCTTTAATTCATCCTCTGGGTGATTTGGAGGTCATAAAGTCCAACTGCCTCCCCATTCCACAATTTATCAGATAAAGAACTGACCTTCAAATAAACAAAGTATATTCCTAAAATTACACAGAAAGTTGCAGACAGTACCTACACCACAACTCAGGTGCGCAGATGAATGATAGTCCTGGAGAAGCATCAAGGGATGGAATAATTAAGTTTAGAATTGAGGAAATTAGCTGTACTGGTTTTGGGGAGATAAAGTCACTACCTGTTCACATGATTAATTTTCCTTCTGAATGTCAACAGCCTCCTACAGATGCACATATTACTACAGAACAACATGCCTATGGTGACTGTTTGTTTCTAAAGTTTTAATCAAACAAACGGCAACATTAGAACTCTGATTTTCCCTTTAGCAATCCAAATATATTCAAATTATGAATTGAAAGATATTGGACTTTTAATAATTCAAGCTTTCTGAGTACTATTAAGTTCCATAAAGCTATTGGATAGGTAGTTTTTCTATTTCTTATCTCGTCTAATCTTCATTTCAATTTGGGACAACTAGGTATATGCCTTCTTTTATCTGTGTGGTTTTCTTTTTACTATTTATGTAAGTGGATAAAGCAAAAAGTGAGTAAAATATATTCCAAGAAGGATATTAGAATACTAATGTAGCTAATGCTGCTCCTGGTAACCACTTAGGAAAAAATGGAGTAGTTTAAAAAACAGAGTAGTAGAATATCATCAACCTTAAGAGATCATCAATGTGCTATTATAGAATTGTAACTTGAGGGACATCTGCAGAGCAGTATGAGTGCCAGTGACTTCAGCACATGCTTCCAAAAGTATATGCATATGTTAAGCGCCAGTTAGAGGGCCTAACTCCCTGTTTGCATGGGATGGTCCTGATTATAGAACTCACAGTATTGCATCCCAAGAAACCCTCCAATCCCAGGAAACTCAGGAAATTTGGTCCTGTTGTTCTGCCCAAGAGCTGCAGCTGCAAGTGAAATAGTACCTGGAATTGGATGGTTTTCGTGCATGTAGGTACAAGTTGGACAAAGGTTTGGGCTGATTTGTGGCTTCAACTTTTCCTAGTTTTGTGACCTATCACAAATCACCTGACATTTTGCACTGTCACTTACCATTTTTTGTAAAATGTGACTAATACTTTTCTCACATATATTTGTGAAGTTTAAATAAAAACATTATTGTGAAATGCAATCTAATAGTCAAAATGCTATGTAAATATAAGATGCTTTTCTTAACTCCAGCAACTTTGCAGCATCAATGTTGGTACATACAACACTCTCTCCATGGCAGCTGCTGGAGACATATATACAATAACTTGAATGTTGTGTATATGAATTGGTTTTAGACTTGAGTTTCTATGTATTTATCAATAGTTACTGATTTAAAGTCCCAGGTCACACTCTTCAAAGCTATTTGCATCAGGCAGTATTCATTTTTATAAAGTAACTTTTGTTTTCTTTCTTTAACTTTTCATCATTACATTTATTAAATACTAAATACTTTTGAATATATACATACACACGTGTATAGGTAGATATAGATATGTTTCCTTAATGTGGAATTTAAAAATTGGTTTGAAAGACCAAACCTTAATTTTTAGTGTGACTTAATTTATTAAAAGTCCTGTCTTCTCTATCTTCTCTTTACTTAATGAAAAAGCCAATTGCAGAACAAGAAGATTGATTAGTAGCAATAATCTTGATATGCTAGTAATAAAAATCTTCGCTGAAGTCCAATCTTTATAAAAAGCACTGACTGCATTTCAAGGCTAATACCTAACCCTACGTCTAACAGACGGCAGAGGTTTAATAACTGTAGGCGATGTTGTTCATGCTCTCAATGAATGTCCCACCCCCATAACCACGCCCAAGATTCACCACTACAACCCTGATGGCTAGCCAAAACTGTAAAAACCTATCTCTGTTTGCTGGCCTAGGAAACATGCTTTCCTCCATGCAAGACAAACTAAAATTGCCTGATAGCTAATGCTCCAAGAAGCCACCCTCAATCAGTAATGGATGGGGAATTGATAAATAAATAGCCTTCTTCTGTGCCCCTCAGTTGGGATAACTAAACATTGTTCTGTACCCAGTGCTCTGCAGAGAGACTGAGATCCAGTTGACCACACTGATAACTGGCCTGACAACAAACCTTCATTGGCTTCATTCTGTTGAGTAACCCACTTCCCTTTTGGTATTTCTTGGGACCATCTGCCCACTAAATTTCTTGCGTTCAAGTCCTTGCCTCACAGTCTACTTTGGGAGGGACCCAGAACAAGAAAATAATGTTTGATAAATAAATTAGTCCACCTGCATGAAAAGATACACAGACATACAAGTAAGCCTCTGCTTCTCTGTGTCAACACACAAATCATTTAATCTTTCTTTAAGTTGGTTTATAACAGCTGTTACAAATGGAACTCAGTGAAGAGTTGGGGACAGTGAGCCCTTCCTTAATTAAGGTGGAACTTTTTATTTTACTTTGTCTCAAGAGATTCTTTGAATGTAAATTATAAAGTTGAAATCATAGAATACAAAGAAAGCAAAGGAACTGACAAGTCTTTTTCTCACCTGGGAGGTTGGTCCATTAACATAAGAGGCAGACCCTGCTAAGGCCAGCTCTGATATCTCCCATGTGATAAAAGTTCTTGACACTTAGCAGGAGTTGATGTCTTGATATTATATCTGCAAATGGTAGCTCTGAAGGGGAGGTGGGCACTAGGATGTGCCTCCTAGAAATTCAGCCCTTGAGCTCAGAAGTAGGTAGAGTGTGAATTATGAGCCAGTAGTCACATAAAGTCTGATGGTCATGTCTTATCCCCAGTTCTGCTCTAGGATCTGGGGTACACAAAGGGAAGTTCTTGATGATGATGGCAGAAGCTGTGTGCAAGTTTCCAAAGCAACAATTAGTCCTTCAGAGTCTAATCCAAGGCTGCTTAGGGGGTTGTTCTCCTTGAGTTAATGGGAGCATGGGTGTTCATGGAAGGGAGAGCAGCCCCAGAAGACAGGCAAGCAAATCAAACCTTTGTTTTGATTGAATTGGGAGCGAATGAAGTGTTCACTGCTCGCTAAACTCCAGTGAAGTTAACATGTGAGAATGAATGGAGACAAACTTCTCTGTGTGGCAAGGAAGACCTAGGGCACTTTACACCCAGGAACCTCCTGGGACAGAGCTGAGATGGAGGTGACCATTCATCATACTCTGGGGGTGATGGGGATTTTCAGTAAATGCTGTATCAGTGTAGTTAAATCTTCCCAGAACCAATAAAAATGCCCTTTGCTTTTTCTACCTTCTATTACAAGTAATTGCTATTCATCTAGCTATGGATATCTCAGAAGTAGTCACAGAGTACTTAGAGTGCCTGAGGGACGAAAAGTTCGAAGGAAAATGTAGCTGTGTATCATTGGCATTCATGAGAAAATTCACATTAGCTGTTTGAAAGGCAGGTCCCCGGGAGGCAATAGAGAAATCAGGAACAATATTGTGCCAAAAATACTGCTCTGGCCAGGACATCAGGGAGTTTATGTCAGATAGTGTGAAGGAAAGTGATTTGGGAAGAAAAGATGTATGAGCTTTTCGATATGCATTTGGTTTATTTGTATGTGTATAATCCCTGAAAAACTAATATGTTCTGGGAATTGACAAGCAAGTTGGTTCTGAAACTTCTGAAATATGCAGCTGTGCTTATATTTCTTTTACTCTAAAAGCTCTGAATAACATCTGGTAACATGATCAATACATTTTCAAACTCACAGCTTTTTAAAATCTGTTTGCAACCAATAAGCCAAAAATGTGTTGTGCCCTGGTACCACTTCACACTTGGGGGGCCAAGTTCAAGCCATTGGAGATTCAGGTGCAGAATCCAAAATCATGGCCCTTTTCCAGATATGCACCTCTTCTGGGAGCCTAAAGATTGGTTGTCCCCTTGATGAAGCACCAGGCATGGAGGTTAAAGAAGATTTGAAGAGGAATGGGTGATATCGTCTTTGCCTGGAGTCACTTTAGTGCAAAAAATAATTACTCTCTCACCTATTTGCTTATTCTAGACTGTTTGGATAATAGTCACTTGGAGGCAGTGAGTCCAGGTTAAGCCTCCTTACTTCTCTTCATTCCTCTTATTTAAAAGGTTTAGTGAATCACCTTTCAAGGAGATTGTACTAAATTCTATCAAGATAACAAAAAGAACAATGACTCTCAAAATTATTACTGCTTCCAGGTGGCTTTTTCCATAACATCCCCGAAATATAGTTAAGTCACTCATAAGCAGTGACCAACCACCTATTCACTCAGTGAATTAATGTAACGAAATCCGTCCAGTGTATGAGGACACACACACACACACACACACGCACACACAATCGGGAAAAATAGACCATGCAAAATGTATCACGAAAAAGTAGATATATCTTAAATATTTTATTCATTTCTTCATTAAAGATACATTGATTAGAAGTTGAAAGGAAAGTGAAAGCATTTCTAAGTGAAGGTATAATAAAAATCTTCATGGAATAATAGTCATCAAATCTTGGCAGAATGCTAAAATTAGAGAATTCCAGGAACACGGACCAACATAATCAAAGACAGAGGCATCCTTGAAAATTACTTGATCTTTTAAATTTGATTGTTTTGTACTTACTAATACTGATGACAATCATAATAGCAGCTATTATTTATTGAGCCCTGTGTTCATGTGAGATGCTGTTTTAAGCATATGATACGAATTAATTTACCCTCACCTCAAACTTGGGCGGTGGCTACTATTATTATTCCCATTTTATTGATGACAGAACTAAGGCACATGAGAGTTCAACAACCTGTATTAACTTTCTTACCTAGTGAGAGGCAGAGGCTGGATTAAAACAGGGCAGCTTGGTTACAGAGCATGGACTCTCAGCTACTACTGTCTCCTCTTAGGAGCTCACAGAGCCACTGACTCAATGACTCTATTTTCCTTTCCATTTCCCTTCAGATGTGGGTGAAGTGACAGAACAAATGCTGCCTTGGACATCAGAGCTCTGGTGGTAGTGGGCATCTACCTATATGCAAAATGAACTGCTGGATCAGGTTGGGAGCCATGCCCCAGAATTATAGCCTTTTGTTTATATCATGTGGAGAAAGGGAACTACTAACGTGGCTGACCTCTGGTGCTCTCCTTCCTTCCACAGATCCGCTTACTCTAATAGGCAGCCATCAAGACTGGCAGAGAGGCAGTTCACAAAGCAATACTCTTCCCGTAGTCTCACTACAGTGCCCCCTCCCTAGACATTTTCCCAGAACTACCTTCACATTCAAACTGCCTCCTGTGCTGGAAGTTAATTAATATTTTTTTTTCAGAGCGATTCCAAGTACATCTATCCAGATAGCTAACAACAATCCTGCACTTCCTGTATATAGTATCAGAAGGGCCCTAGTCTTGAAATCCACAGATCTGGGTACAAGGTTCAGCTTGGCCACATACAATCTATGTGCTATTGGCCTAATACCTGAAGTAGTGTTACATTACCCTGAAGCCTGCCTCCTACTTGTCTCTGTTGAATTGCCCGCTCTCCCATCTCAATATAGAATTTGGGGAACCAAAAATGTGGCCAGATTCACTCAAATTACGTCACTGGTGGCAGGCAGTGATGGACTGTCTCTGATCCCTTTGGATGCCTGATCCAGTGTTCTTTTCAGAGGCCAGTCTGCCCTTGGGGAACCTGCAGAAGGCACTGCTCCTTCCCTCTAAGTGGGAGTCACATCCTCCCGTTATTCCCTCCCCACTGTTTAGATGGTGCAAACTATAAACAACGCTTTTAAAAGCTCTATCCTATGTGGTTATAGGAGAGTTAGTCAATACCTCTGAGCCTCACTTTTTCTTCTTAGTTTGAAAAATCAAAATGAGACATTTTATTTGAGAAAGCACCTTTCACACTATAGATCAATTTCCAAAGGTGGAGCACTATGTATATGAACAAGAATTCCAGGTATTTGATGGCAGAGAAGCCCTGTTGGTAAGAGGGCAGAAAGCAGACAGAAAGTGAAGGAAATCCAACATAAGATTTTAATAGCCTGCCCATCAGGAAGTGTCTCACCCCGTCAGCTGCTGATTTTTGCCAGCAAATGCCATCTCCAAAGGAGGTAGAATGTGCAAAGGGCTGGGAAATGAGGTGGCTCCCCCATGCCCCATGCCATAGCATCTGTCCTCTCAGGGCCCACATATTTGGGAAGAATAACAAATCCTCAGAGAAGAAGTCTGATCTGCATTTCTGCAATATGAAAAAGCCAAGGAATGGGGCACTTAAAAGACTGAGGTGAAGTGGCATTCCCTGTTCCCAAATGAGTTATTTTTTTCTCTTCTTTTTACTTTTATTATTCGCAAAATTCTAGCCTCTCAATAGCTGAGGAATTTCCCAGAGTTTTGCAGCAACAATGTTGACAGGCAACTGCTTTTTCCTCCTGAGGCGACTTCTATTTCTGCGAGGTCAGGACTGCCAATGGGAGCACATATCAGGGGACAGGTTGATGGAAGACAAGGCAAAAGGTCCAATTGTCCAGGGGCCGAGGACCGTGAACTTAAGCCAAAGGGAACAGAATGGAATCAGTGTACATCCTGCTGTGAGCACTCACTATTTTTTCCCCTTTCCTTTCTTAAAGGATAGCCTTGAAAGAAAGCGTGTTCTTTCTCAGCAGAGAGCTTACAATTCCATAGTTTATTGTATTCGTGGTCACAAGAAAATAGAGATATTCTTTTAATAATTCTTTTCCAGCTAGGTCAGAAAATTCACACACCTATGCATTAAAGAAAGAAGATACACTATTATGTGTGGTCAGAAAATCACTGATTGGCATGAAAGTGATTAAAATCTAGCCAATTTTCCTGATCAGTTATGCATGAGAGAAAAACTTTAGTAATTTAATTCCTTATCTATATCTTGGGCTTTTTCCAAATTAGAGAGCTCTTTCAAATCCTTGATTTAGTTGATCCCTACAAAAATTTGGAGAAGTCAGTAGGTATTACTGCCCCAATATTTACTGTGAGCAATCTAAGAACAGGTTAAGAGACTTGCTCAGATCACGTCACTAGCTATTGGCAGAGTTGGGACATTGAGATCTTTGCATTCCTGGTCCAGAGCTCTTTTCCCTGGATCAAGTTTCCCCAAAGTGTGTTCTGTGGAACGTTCCCCTAGGAAAAGCACTGCCGAAAACAGAATCTCTGGATCGTGGACGTCTGAGAACAGTATGTAATGTACCCTTCTCTTCAAGTTTTATAACGTGCTTTAGAATAGAAGAGACACTGAGAAATCTTGAGAGAAAGGAACGTGTCCACTTATTTAACTTGTAGTGTTTGACTGCATGCTAATTTTTTCAAAACGCAAAAAGCACACTGTGGGAACTCTTGGATAGTGCCATACAGCTTTATAACAGTTCGCGTTATTCCCATGGAAGGAGGAATCTTCCATTTGCAAGTCTAATAGGGAGACCTGTGTCTTTTTCAACAGAATGAAATTTGAACTGAAACTCCCAGGACCAGCTTTGGGTAAAATTGTAAAGTCTGTAAGATTGGCCATTGTGGTGAAAGCTCAGGTTCAGGATTCCAACAGATACTGGTCAGATGAGGGACTTTCTGGCCACTTATCAGCTGGTCACACTCTGTCCAATTACCTACCCCTTCCGGCTTCGGTACCCTCACCTGTAAAATGAGAGCAATCTTTTTACACATCTTATGGGACTACTGTGAAGATTACATGAAACAATATGCATACAGTCCTCGGCATGGAGCCTGGTACCTGGTCAGTGTTCAAAAAATTGTATTATTACTCTTATTCTTATTTTCTCTTTCAGCCAGCCTCTGGGTATCCCATTCTTTCTCTCCCTCCTCCTATTTTTCTATCCTGTCATACAGTCTGAAAGGACTCTGCTTCCAACTCTCCTGCCTAGCTTGTGTAGGGCAGAGATCGCAAGTCTGCTGCCTTCAGAGACCAGGCAGGTGATATGAAAGAGTGAGGTGGGCTGAAGATTAGACCGTCAGGGTCTCCCAGACTAAGGCAAAGGATGTTGAAGAGCCAAGCACTCCTGATGCTTGTTGTTAATGCCTTTTTGTTGTGTTGTTACAGTGTGGAAATGTGGATTCAGTGATGCCAACTCTTCAGATATTTAAAGAGAAAGCAGAATGTTCACTTTTATATGGGTTTCCCATTTTTAAACACTCTGCTAGGGGAATATAGCTTTTGGATCACCATCTAATGACCTTTGATACACAGGATTTCTGGCTTCCTGCTCTTACATAGAAAAGAAAAGCTACAAGTTTAGAAGGGCTGAAGAGGTCATGTAGTTTAACCTTCTACTTGATGTGGAAATGCCCTCTATAATATCCCAGAAAAGCTGTCATCGAGCTGCTCCTTCTAGACTCCTCATCAAAGAACTTGGTATCTCATGGAGAAACCATTTCACTGTTATTCTTTGTATGCAAAATCTCACCAAATCCTTGAATAAACCTCATGCAGTAGGTAGTGCTTTTTGCATTGTAATCATAAAACTGAGGCTCAGAAAGCCTATTTTCCTTTCTCCAAAGTCACAAAGTGATTAAGTATTTGTAGGTTTGAGACAGAAACCCAGACTGTCTAGGTTTCAAAGCCGGTGCACTTAACCACTGGCTAAACAATTCTACCTGTTAAAGTGCTCTGGGCTGATATTAAGCTGAAATTTGCTGCCCTGAGATGTCTACCCATTGGTCCCAGTTCCGCTCTCCTGAGACACAAATAATAAGTCTAATCCTTCTTCCACAAGACAGCCCTTCAAATATTTGAAGATGGTCCTCCTCTGCCTGCTAAATCCTTTCTTCCCCAGGCTAAACATATTCATTTCTTTCCACTGACTCTCATAAGCTCCCAGCCACTTCATCATCTTCAACCTGTTTCCCAGAAGAGAGTTTCAGTTTGTAAAAATTCCTCTTAAACCATGATGTTCACAAGAGACTACAGTCCCTCGTGTGGTTACACAAGTGCAGGTTAAGATGGAAATACCGCCTCCCTTGTTTTGGCCACTATACTTTTGTTAATGCAACCTTAGTTACATCAGATTTTTGGCAATTATGTTAAAAGATAAGCAAATATTGCATGTTGGCCTGGAATTACCCCATGTATTTTTTTTTTAAATTGAATTGATGTAAAGTCACTTTTCCCCACCCCGCTCGTATTCTAAACAAGTAGATCAATTTTTAGAATACTTATAATATTCTTATTATATAACATCTTATGAGATTTAGCTACTGCTTCAGCCTATACTGATCTGTTTTCTTTTGTTTTTCTTTAATCCGAAAAATGTAGCAAAGCAGGAAAAAAGAAAATTTTCCCACAGTCTGACTATTTTTTCTTAGGCACATAGAGGTAAAGATTTTTTTTTTTACACTACTACTCTAATACTTCCAGGTAAGTCTATTTGTACTTCCTCCAAAACAAAACAGAAAAATGTTTTGTGCACATATTTGTTTTAATACAATCTTGGTATGAATATTCCTATTTAGATTTTTTTTAAATTTGGAATATATACAAGACATATATCAGTAGTAAAATTCAGAAATATCCTGATTAAGAAGAGGGGGGTAAATGTATACATATACGTCATTCTTTTTAATCCAGAAGTTTCTGAATTTTGCTATCTGATATACTCACTATCCCTCCCAGCTTTCTGTTATTCCAGAGGTTAATCAAATATTCAGCAGGCTTGGACTGAGAACTCACCACTAGAAACTTCTCTCCCTGCCATTCTTTAGCCAGAGGTTGGAAAACTGTGGCCTTGGGTTAAACTCTATCCTTGATTGTGTTTTTTTAAATAAAGTTTTATTAGAACACAACTACTCCCATTTGTTAAGATTTTATGTATGTGTGCTTTTGTGCTACAACTGTCCAGTTTAGTAGTGGCAACAGAGGCCAAATGATCCATAAAACTGAAAATATTTGCTATCTAGTCCCTTACAGAGAAAGTTTCTCAACTTCTGCTTTAGCAGTTGGTTGGTAGTCCATCCATTCTGTTATTCAATTCATCACTGAGAAGTGAAATTGGTGTAATTTCCTATCCCTGTGTTAAATGACACAGAAAGCAAAAATAATTTAGTTATTTGCTTCAGGAAATGTTCGCTTCTAGAGGATAAAACTTGCATTTCAAGACCAACATCAAGACCTATGTCCAGAGTGCCCATCAATCGAAAGTTGCTATGTCATAAACTCTGCCCAGTCCTCCTCAGTTCCTCATTTTGCAACAAGAATGTTAAAATCTCTCTGCTTGGGCAATAAAATCCTATAAATATCATCCATAACTTCTCCTTCTGAGACAGTACTATGTCAAGTTCTATTCTCCTTTTCTGTAGTAGTTTCATAAACTTTGATATGCCTGCACAACAAGTATTTCTTGTCACCTTTTTCGGAGTGGAGAGTCAACATTACAAATTCTCTGTAGTGTAGTATCACCTACTGTGCATTCTGTTTTTCTGATTAACATAAAACCTGAGAGTGTTTCAGTGAGACACAGCTGCCTGTGTTTTACAGTTGGGAAAATAGGCTCACAGAGACGAACTCTATGCTGAAGTGACGTGTTAGTGTCACAGATCAAGAAGGGAGGGCCCTCTCTCATGGACCTGCCTTCAAGTCTCAGGTCTATGAACTGAACTGGGATAAATATTTACCTCCTATGGGCCTCAGTCTCCTCATCTATGAAGGTAAAGGCTCACCTATATTATCTATATAATTTTCCTTCAATTCTGAAATTCATTGAAAATATTATTTTTCAGTAGTTAGAAAACCAGTGCCTCACAGTGGTCTCTTTCAGTAAGACTCTGTTGCCTCAAGCAGAAGGCACATGATATAGACTATATTGATGACCAAGTCCTAGAGCTTGGTGGCTCTGATAACGAAATTGTTGAAATGATTCTAACTATTTTCAAAACAAATATATTTGTACTTATTTCATGCTGTTAACGACTTAACATGTAATCATTCCTCCTCTAAGAAAAGAAGTAATCCTTCTTCTATGATTGCATTAAACACGCTGTGTTATATCTTTCTACTAATCTATGATCTATTATGATTGCCTATTTTGAGAGCTGGCATAACAATTATCATAAGTGATAGCATTATATTCTGAAAACAAAGACTGTGATGGGACAATTTGTCTTGCTACTTTGCCTGACTTAATGGCAATTGGGGTTTCCTAGTCCAAACCAGATTTTTTTGGATCATAAATATTTCATTTTTTAATTTATTATTGATTTAGCTTGATAGTAAATAACTCCATGAATGCTGAGGTTTGAAATCTATTGTAGAAATTATTATGCCTTTTCTTCTCTGTCTGGCCATGGATTTTTATCACACTGAAATAAAACAGTGGGGTTACCTGAAGAAAATGGATTTGGGAGTTTTAATTTATCTGGTGCAGTTAATTAAGGAGTTTTAATTTATCTGGTGCAGTTAATTAACTAGTCAATTAACAACAAAAGGGCAATTAGTGCTGAGCACATTTGTTCTGATGATGAACATGCCATCTGAAAATGGATCTTGATCTCTGCTATGAAATTCCTTAATGTCAAAGCAATGTTTCTGTAAGTAGAGGAAGAATAAAGCTCATTAGGAGTAATGCACTTCAACAATAGTTTCCTTTTATGCTAAAGCAACAAATAAGAGAGAGAAGTTGGCCAATATTTTAAGTAATATTCCTCCATTGGCCATTCTATTACTCTACATTTAAAGCAATCACAAAAGCCATTTAGTACGAGTTTCTTTTTCCTACTATGAAAGTGGGAAAATCATTTCAGATTGTACAAAAGGGGTGGGAAATAGATATAATCTGTGATTGACCTGAAGATTTCTATGAACAGTATGTATTAAGGAATTTAATTCTCCATCACCCAAACTGATGTCACATAGTTGTATCTAGAGATATTAAAGAGTATCAGGTTGAGAGGGCTGAACAAGAATAACTTCCCATGTTTTCTTTGTGTCATTCAATGTCATGTGTTAGGTCATCTTAGGCATTCTCTGTAATGTTTGGTGAGTCTCAGCTAGAATCCTTTATGAACCCCTTTCAAAGGCTTGTTACAGAGCTATGCATGCGTATCCACCCTACTTTTTTATTGAAGCCAATGTCCCTAGTTCCCAATACAAAGAAATTTGGAAACTTCTTTTGTAAAAGGTAAAGAATAGAGATACCATCTCTCTTTTGATAACTCTCATTGTCTCATATGTCTGTTGGGAATATCACAGTTAAATCTGGCAACAAACTCCCAGAATTACCCTGCTGCCTGAAGTCTAGCCAATACTTGACTTTCCTAATTATTCTTGGTTTTCCAGCAATTGCTTCACATTCATAGACTGACAGATGGTTTTATGACCAGGGGATAAATTGAATGATGGCTTTCCATTTCTAAAATAACAGAAAAATTCTGAAACAAACAAAGAAACTGTTAGTGTTATCTGGCGTAAAAATAATTAGTATTGGGTACAACCTCACTGTCACAGGAATTGTTTCTGAATTCTTCTCTCTGCCTTCTGGGGTCAAATACTGGTCGATAAGACATGGTACAAAAGGTTTATTTTAAGGCAGGACACTCACAAGCTGAAGCAACTTCAAAACTTGTTGTTAGTGCCAAGTGGATTCCGACTCCTGGCGACCCTGTGTGCAGCAGAGTGGAAGTCTGCTTGTTCTTTTTGAGACATCCTTTCACCTTCCAGTACTTTATCAGACAACACTCCACTGCTCTTCACGGGGTTCTCATGGCCAATTTTCCCAGAAGTCGGTGACCCAGTTCTTCTTCTTAGTCTGTCTTAGTCTGGAAGCTCTGCTTAAATCTGTCCACCTGCTGGTATTTGAAATACTGGTGACATAGCTTTCAGCATCACAGCAACGTGCAGCTGCCACAGTATGAGAACCAACAGACGGTGATATAGTTTCCTGACCAGGAAACGACCCGGGCTGTCGGGGCATGGGTGCTGAACTTTAACCACTGGACCACCAGGGCTGACGACTTCCAAATAAAGGGCCCGTTTTTTCTGCTAACCACATGATGTTCTTGCTGAGTATGTATACATGGGGTTAGAGAAATACAGTTCCACATTCTCTACCTGAAATCTTTACAGCTAAATATATTTTAGAGATTCAAATGTATTAGACTAGGGATCAGCAAAAGAACTTCCAGAAGCTCTAAATCTGTAAAGGACCAGACAGTAAATATTTTCAGTTTTGAGGGCCAGATGGTCTCTGGTGTAACTATTCAACCCTGCCTTTGTAGCACAAAAGCAGCCATAGACAGTGCATAAATAAACAGGCATGCTGGGTTCAGATGAAACTTTAGTTACAAAAACAGAGGACCAAATTTGGTCAGCAGCCTGTAGTTTGCTGATCCCTATTTTAGCCTTTAGAAAGGCAACGTGGTACAAATTCATATGTGTTTAGACAACACTTCTAGTGAGCTACCGCTCTATCTCAACCAGCACTTCTGGTTCAGCAGCAAAACATAGACATATTTGTACTAAGTTGGATACAATGGACTGAACAATCTCACAGCAGTTCAAGACAGGTTATACCACCAAATGAATTGCATGACCCAATTGACAAGACTTTTTTAAAAAAATATTTTGGATTTGCAAGAAAGGGATTGCGGAGCTATACACGTTCTTTTGTTGAAGTGTTTGAAATTGTTACTGTTGCGTTGAGAAATTCCATGAGAGAAAAAGGAAGCACCCATGGTCTCTAGGGAACAAAATTTGTCCAGGAATAATAGAACAATAACCTTAGCAGTTGAATCATGAACCAAGACATCTACTTCTCCAGGCCAAAATGATATTTAAAAGATTGCAAGGTCTATAGACTTCATCTAAAATAAAGTGCTAGTGATGCATTTTTAAAACTTCTTGAGAGGTTCTGGAAATTCTTTTAAGTTAAGTTTATATACTGGCTCCTTTATTTTGCCTCAAGTAATCTTTAAGATTCTAGGAACTTAGAAATAATTCTTGTGGCTATTTTGCGTATCAGTGACCAGCATAAATTTTACTTGCTGAATATTTCGACCCCATTTTGCTGTGAGTAAATAGCCAGACTCTTCTTATCTGGATTGTTCTCATTGAGCCAGAGTACTCTCCTTCCTCAGGCAATTTAAACTTTTACAAATGGAACTTTTACAAATGGCAACTGATGCATAAATATTAGCTATTTAGGCTATCTTTATAGAGCATTGCCAAATAAAACATCTCCTGGGCTTTGCCCTCATTACAGAATGTTGATAAGCAATCAGATGGTAAAGGGCAATATTTACTATGAAATTATACACTGGGTTGAATCAAATAATCTTAGAATATTAGAGCTGGAAGGTGATTAAAGGTGACGTGCAGGTCAAATCTTTCCATTTTCATAGGAGGAAACTGACAATCAATGTAACTGTAAATGAATCACCCAACGTTACTCAGCTGGCTAGGAGGAAGAGACAACAGTAGAAGCAACACCACTAGATTCCAAGTTTAGTCTTTTTCTTCAAAATATTAGATTATTTTAAGCATGGCAGGGGGTTTCATAATCTCACAATATCAGGTATGATTTAGGTTCTTTGGATGGTAGAACACAACGCAGTAACATTCAAATGCATGAAACTGGGATATATGAAGCAGAACTCTTGTTTCTCACAGATCCAAGTGACAGAAGGGTCATGCAAGGGAGTATAGCCAGGGACAGGATGACAGCAAGCTAGGACTGTATGAAGCAGCTTACATATGACAAGTGGGGTAGGGTTGGCTAGGTTTTGTGGGCTTCCAGGAGATTGGGTGTTTTGAATAACTCCAGCAGCCCAAGGAAGAAGGGTCCATTCCTGGGTGTTTAGCATCTGCAGACTCTGGAAATTTAGTTTGTGTGCATTATAACCCAGGAGTGTTAGAACCTGATCAGGGAAGAAGTTGGGGTGGGGATTTAGCAAACTCTCTGCCAAGAGGAATTGGGAGTTTTTAGCCATGTCTTCAAAATTGGCTGAGCGTATTCAAGACAATACTTGTAAAATATATTACATCGAATCAACAAATTTGTATCTTAGCAACTTAATTGTCCTAATAATATCGACAAAGATTCTGGCTTTGATTGTCCTTGGTTTGGCTTAGGTCTGTCTAAGCCATTGGTTTGCCCATCCTTTTACAAAACACTGTAGCCAGGGGAACAGAGTTCTCATTGACAAGACCCTGGTCACATCCCCAGCTTTGGAGCTACGAGGTGGAGGCAAACCCACTTGAATTATATGGAGCTAGGAAGTGGAGGTAATCCCACTCGAGTTATACAGGGAGATAGTTCCTTAAAAGAAAGTCACAGAGCTTTTATCACAGGTGTGAGGCAGAATTGCTGGGTTGGAAAAAATTATGAATGTCCATCACATAAGTTGACCATATAATTCATCTTGTAAACTAAGACTTTTGGGGAAAAGTGGTACTGTCACTACTTGTACCATGACATTTGGATAAATAGAAACTGTCCAGGGAAAATAGGGATGGATGATCATCCTACCATTACATGATTTTTAAGGGGGATGTAGACTCTGAGGGAGAATTCTATGCAAGTCAAATAGCATCCATATGGAGATAATGTACGATGCATAAGCAAAATTAATAGAGAGTACATCTTTGAGACTAGAGTGGAAGTATTAACTCAGCAATCTGGTTGGAAAAGGACAGTTAGAAATTCATTTTATATGAACTTGAATACCATGCCAAAGACTTTCGATGTTTATGCACTGGGGAGTGACCAAAGGTTTTAGAATACTGATGTAATTGGTTCAAATCACTATTTTAGGAAGATAATTTTGGTTGTAATATGCACATGAACAGAAAGGACAAGAGATTTGAAGCAGGAAGACTATTTAGAGTTCCAATTTTCTTTATCTTACATGTCAATAGTCTAGTCAAAACCATTATCATCCTTTTCTTGGACTACGAAAGTGACCTCAATTTATCTGTATAATTCCACTTTTTACTCCATTCCTCCCGTTCTCCACATCAGCTACAGAGATGTTCGTAAGATGTGAATTAAATTGATTCTGTCCTGCTTAAAATCTTCAATTATAATTTGAAAGAACAACATCTAAACTCTTAATATGGTCTATAGGCCTGGCAAAATTGAGCCTCTTTTTCATTCTACAGCCTTGTCTCATGCCACTGTCCTCCTGAATATCAAACTGGATCTTTCCTAGGTCTTTGAAAATGCAAATTCTGAAAATGCCTCAGAACCTTGTCCTACTCTCTCCCTTTTGCTTAGACAAGTCTCATTCCTCATTCTTACCTATCTTAATCCCTACAATCCTACACTCTCTACCCCAGGTACATTCATTCTTTGCCTGGCTAAGAGTTACTCATCTATCAAGGCTCAACACAAAAATGCTACTTGAACTCCACTTCATAGATCTCACTTTTTTCTTCAAGGTATTATCATATTTTCTTCAAGGCATATATCACCACTTATAACTATGTACCAATGTGTGTGTGTGTGTGTGTGTTTCTGTGTTTGATTTTGCTGGTTTGTTAAATGTCTGTTTCTCTCATAAGATGGCAAAACTTCAAGGGTAGCAATGAAGGGTTTTAGATTCACCACTAACACCTAAGTACCTAATGTCTTGCAGAGAATGGATATAAATAAGTAAATAAATAAATATTTGAGAAATATTATAAATGAATGAATGGATATAGAATATGATTTCATTTAAATGTAAGGAGTTAAAGGCTGAGAATCTGTGGTGTCAAGGGGAATGGTAAGACGATGTGAAATATGAGAGAATTTGTGAAAGGGTCTTATCACCTCAATATAGCATATTAACCTGAATATTGTTTATTTTCCCGTTGATTTTTATTCATTGGTTAAATTTGAAAGTGTTTAATTTAAAATTTATAAAAGCTTAAAGTTGAATATGGTCAACATTTTTGGTTTAAGTTAAAGATAAGTTAAAATAACTAGTAGCAGAAAGAAAGGAAAGATTTTTAAAACTTGAAGATACATCAGGGAATGATTATAATTTCATTATTTACTAGCTTTCCACTTAAAATCCACATACTTCCAAAAGGAGTTTGAAGTTGCAAGAAAATACATTTCCACTAAATCAAAAGCTCCCAAAGAGTGCTATCATTTGATATATAGTAATTTTATCAAATGTGACCTAGGTGAGTTTATTCTGAGTTTATTCCATACTTTTTTGAGATTATGAGTTTTATGAACCTCTTATTAGATTTCTTTTTCAGAGTAAAGGCCAAATAAACACTTTATCTTGATTTCATTTATCATTGAAAACCTTAAATGTCAAAATAAATTAGAGAAAATTATGATGTAACCCCATAGGAAAAGTATTTCTCCTATGTGAGAGATAACTCTTGCAGAAATTGATTTCTTGCAGAAATTTTGCAGCACAATATTAATTTTAGTTCTAGTAATGTTAGGGAAGATAATGTTCCCCAATGAACATATTCTCGACAATATTGATAAAAACACTTAGAAAACCCATGAAATGTATAAAATCAGTTTATATATGGAAAATAAAGCAATATTTTATCTTATTCCCTGATGGTATAAAATCAAAAATAAAAGCTGACAGAATTGCAGGAGTTGGTTTAATATTTTTTTAATCCTCTTTAACATTTGAAAAACAATCGAACTTAAAATTATACTAATGAAAGTTTTAATCCATGTGGAATACATTCAATCAAATTGCATTCCAACCCATTAACTACTACAGCAAATTACATAGTAAATGACATGTATATCTGAGCTGTGAACTGAAATTATGGAAACTTTACAAAATATACATATATGTAAAAGTATACCTTTAGGTTGCTTTATTTTGGATAATATATTTTAATATTAAATTGAATAAATATGCAACAATTCATATACATTTTAGAATATGCATGTTTGTATGTTTGTCATTTCATGACAATTTTGTTTCTTTCAGACTCTTGAGATACAGCCTGGAAGACAGACATTATTTTTCCTGCTGATTGTATGGGAGAAATTTTGACCTTAGAAGGTGGAAATGAGGTTGCTATGGAAACTGGTAATTCTGCTGCCACTCATAAATACTTGTGCAGGTAAGGTGTTTTATTGTTATGAGTTTTGATTGATAATTTATTGGCATTTTATTGTTTTCTACAGGTGAAGCAATTTCAAATGCACAATACTTACGTTATTTGAATCACAAGGTGATAAACAAAATTTTGGAGGTAATCTCTATGGCTAATACACATCGTTTAATCCTTACAAAAATATATCAAGTGCTATTTTTAAACAGTACCAAGATTATTTCAATTATACATTGTCAAATATAAAATTTTTACAGTAAAAGAATGTGGCTAAATCATTTTTGTCATTAATAAATAATAAAGAATAGTTCTTTTTTATTACTTTTATAGTGGAGTCTTTGAAAAATTAAAACTGAGGGGCTGGCCTGGTGGCATAGTGGTTAAGTTCCCACATTCAGCTTCGGCGGTCCAGGGTTGAGAGGCTCAGATCCCGGGGGCAGACCTAGCACAGATTGTCAAGCCTTGATGCGGCAGCATCCCATATAAAATAGAGGAAGATTCACACAGATGTTACCTTAGCGACAACCTTCCTCAAGCAGAAAGAGGAAGATTGGCAGCAGATGTTAGCTCAGGGCCAATCTTCCTCACAAAAAAGTAAAATTCAAAACAATAAAAATTTAAAATTAAAATTGAAATATATATTTGCCCTCAAATTTAGAATTTGGTATGGAAAAAAGCTATATTGATATAGAAGAAAAAATGATATAGAATATTACCTCCTAACTAGAATAACTTTAGAAATTTTTCTCTCCATTTTGATGATATTCTTTCATTCAACCTAAAATGTTAATGTCTGTATATCAATTAGCTTTTGCTGTGTAAAAGCCCATCCCAAATCTGAGTGGATTAAAATAACAAATAACCATGTATTTAGTTGACAAATCTGTGGGCTGTCAATTTGGAATGGGCTAAACTGAGCTGTTTTTCTGGTCTTGCCTGGGTGCACTTACATCTGTGGTCAGCTACTGGGTCCTCTGGGACCTGGCTAGTCTAGGACATGCTCAGCCAAGACAACCAGGCTGCCTCCACCTGGGCCCAAGTGTTCTCTCATCCTCTTTGAGTCTGGGCTCTTTCACATAGGGTCTGCTCAGGATTCCAAGAATAATCAGAAGCACGCAAGATTTCTTGATGTCAAGACTTGTAACTGATAGTATCATTTCTGCAGCATTCTTTTAACCATTGCATCACACAACCAGTCCAGATTCAAGGGGTATGCAAGTATACTCCATTTCTTGATAGAAGAGCTGCAAAGTTACACTGTAAAGGGACATAGAAATAGTAAAAGGAATAATAGTGGCTGTTTTTGTAAATAATCAGCCACAGTCTGTTAAGATCATAGAGTTCCGGTCTTAATTGTCAAGCTTACTTAAGTGAGTACTCACAGAGCATGGACATTGACTAGGTCAGCTGATTGTAGGGCAGTCCGTCTGTTATACCATGCTGGTTCCCCCCAACTGTGATGACAGGTACTATTGAAGTTACATATATTCATAACGAAGCAGTAATATATTGGGAGAAACACAAGAACAACCAAACCAGAACATAGCAATTGTGAGAGACATATATTTAATAGAAATTCCAAGAAATAGAAAGATATACTAATCCTAAAAGCTATGAGAATGCTAAAAGATGCAGAAACCAACCATTAGAATTAAAAAAGCATATAAATATAAGTATTTTAACTACTAGAGAATCCAGGGGCTAGAAGGGCTACAGTCATATTTATTTGAAGTTATTGCATTATTTTCAGTTGTGTCACTTGTAGCTCACTGTAACTAAGATTCGGAGCTAAATAATGTCTTTGTTTTTTGTAATAGATTAAAAAAAGACAGAGCAGAGTCATCAAGGTGCCCCTAAATTATACATATGTGAATAAGAATTCTATTTCTACCTTCAAGTTTCAGCTTTCTATCAAAAGTTAGCACTAATATTTTGCCCTTTAAATATGAATAATGAATCAGTATGGTATCTCTAAAAGACCTTTTGTGTTAAATTAAAATAAATTATTATTCTCAGAACACATGACAGATCTGAGAAATCCTCCAGTTTTTCTATTAACTTTATTTCTCCAAATTGGATGTGATTCAACATGTCCTTTTGCTTTATTCTAAAGGGAAAAGTAATCATATGTCCTTGGTGTACAATTTCCTTGTGAAAGAACAGATTGGATTTTTTTTAAGCCATAGCCATTCGAATAAAATAATCTGAGCTAAACGTTGCCCCAGAGGTAAGGAGTGCTGATAATGACATACACAAGAGAGCATTGCTTTAAATCTGTTTGTTTTTTAGAGATTTCATGGTGTGTTTCCCTACTTGCAGATATTATCTTAGCTTAGAAAATTAGATCTTCTAATGATAAAGTGTTATTTCTTTGCATATGTATATCTTCTTTGTTTTCCCAAAACTTACTTTATACTCATTCTGAAAGGCCAGCAAATCTTTCACAATTATTTGCATTTTCCTTCCTATTTTTACTGTTATAATCTTTGCAAAATGTGGACATTTTAAATCTCTCCAGACTTTAAATTAAAACTTAAAATTTTGCCTCCAACTTCTACTCCTGGTTTTTTTGTTTTTTCAATTAACTTTACAACTTTTTCTAACACCTTTTCTATAGACATTGGACTTTGATCCTTTACTATGAATCATAATCCATACAGACATACATTATGATTCTGAAATATTTTTGAAATTATGAGTCTTTAAAAGCTCTACTGTTCTATTTCAATATTTTTTAAATATTACAAGAAAACCAAGGCCCATTTAATTAAGACATATAATTGCTAATTATATACTTTTTAATAATTTCATTAATGTGTGTGGTAGGAGAAATCATTGCCCTCAAGAATATCTAGGTCCTGATATCTGGAACCTCTGAATTTTACATTAAAAAAGCAAAATGGATTTTGGAGATGTGAGTAAGTCAAAGATCTTGAGATGAGTGGATATTATCCTGAAATATCGGGGTGGGAGATTACAATGCCTTTATAAGAGGGAGGCAGAAGGGCATTTGACACAGAGCAGAAGGAAATGGGAAGGTAGAGTGGAAAAAGATTTGCAGATCCTATGCTGCCGACCTTAAATACAGAGGAAGGGACCTTGAGCCAACAAATGAGAGGGATGAGGCTCTAGAAGCTAAAAGGCAAGGAAACAGACCGGTTCTCCCCTACACCTTTCGAGAGGATGTACCCCCGTGGATACCTTGGTTTCTACCTTGTGAAACCCATTTTGGACTTCTGACCTCAAGAAATGTGAGGAAAAACATGTGTGTTGTTTTAAGCCACCAAGTTGTGGGGATTTTCACAGATGCCGTAGGAAACGAAGGCAATATGTTTCTTCCTCACTAACCTTTAAGCTACAGAAGGGCAGGGATTGTATCTTCCTGGAATTTGGTAGGGAGTCAGTAAATATTTGTTGAGTGAGTGAACGAATAAATTAGATGCAATGCTGTTGGTCCTGTTTGGATTAACATTAAGTAGAAAAAATTTAGAGGAAATTTATTATTTCCTCTGAGGAATAATTGATCCAGTCTATCCCTATACCATTGTCTTTGTGTTATGACGTTATTGTCATAGGATTTTAGAGCAGAATTCTAGTAAGATTTGAAAAGTTTCAATCTATGCCCTATTTAAATGTAATCTCCATGACAGCAGGGATTTCCATTTGCTTTATTCTCTACTGTTTCTCCATCACCTAGCAGATGGTCTGTAGATGTTTATCAAACAAATGAAATAAAGCAATTCCATTCAATTCAATGGGTATGTATTAGTACCTTAGATATGCCAGCCACTGAGCTAGATGTTGACCTTCAATGGCAAGAAAGCCAGTGTCCCCGCCTTCTTCAGTTTACAGCCTAAAAATGGAAACCAGCAAGTCAGTCAATAATTGCAATGGAGAAGGTACAAGTTGCTATTTGAGTAACAGTAGGAGAATATATCATAGAAAGTTCATAAAAAGACATCTGCTATTTAAGTCAACCCTCAATCCATTTCTGCTTCCTCTGAGAAGAATATTTGATTTTTATGGAGAAGCCACTCTTTCTAACAAGTCTTTGTGGTGTAGGGGAGGAGGACATTTCCTCTCCCCAAATGGGGGTTCGTCTGGCCGGAGAACGAATTAAATTCACATGAGACAGAATAGCAAGAGAAAATTAAACAAAGCTTTATGAGGAACCATGGCCTGGGCCTTTCTTCTCAAAGGAAGAAAGGGCACCAAAGAAGTGGGGTGCACATAGTGGTTATATACCCCCAAACGGGGTGTTTCACATGTGATTGAAATGTCCCTCTTACAGCAGTCATGAGGCTGCCCTGTCAGTAGAGCGCTTGATGGAGGCAGATGGGTCTGCTGTCTCAGTGAACGCAGCAGGGTGGCAGGTGTGTTGCCTCGGGCGGGGGGGGTGGTCACAGATGAGCACTGCAATCGGTTCCCAGCCTAAAGAAAGATGCTTAATCTTTAAGGAGATGCCAACGTTGGGAGGGGGAGGGAAGTCAGTTATAGGAGGTTACCAGAGAAGCACAATAAAATGCAGATTTTAAGACCTTGCCTTTGGTATTGATTAAGAGTTTTTAGAGAGAAGTTCATCGCCTTTCTTCTTCCTGGTGCAGAGAGGGAGGCACCTTTACAGATAGAGATTTACCTTACAAATGTAAATGTGTCCTAACGAAGGGCAAGTTCCATTCCTCCTTCCCTGTCCCAGTTTATCAAAAGCAATCAGCCTCAAATAATCCTGATGCCAAAAAGACATATCTTGGGGTGGCCATTTCCAGGTCCCCACAGTGGTTTGAGTGAGATTTGGAACAACCTCATGATCAGCCAGTTGGAATATTCCATCTCCCCTCATCGTACTGATTGGTTCAGGAGATGTTGTATCTGAGCAAATCCCTGGGCTTTTCCTAAAATAAAATGACAGAGAACCATTCCCTTTGTGCTATTCTAGTTAGTGTAACGATGTACCAAGGGCCCCTGTGAGAGGAGAGACTGCCTGAAAATAAAATTAACGCAGAAGCACG